GCAGCTGTGTGAGGCCTCAGGCGCCACAATTCCGCCACCTGTCCTCCACTTGTACGAGAAAGAGGGAGAAAACGAGAGAAAAAAAAAAAAGACCACCACTTGTTCGAGGTGTCGCCAGCAGAAGTGGCAATAATTAGCATCGGCCTCGCGCGCGTTTCGCAACAGAACACGTGTCGTACCACAACACACGTCCACGTACACGCTGGAAGCTCCCACGGTTCTCTGAAGGGGGTGCGAGGCGACCTCGATTCCGACCTCGACCACGACGACGAGAGCACGCGCTGCGCATCGGGGTCAAGCGCTCGCGTGACGCGCCAGCGGTCAGCGCGCACGCAGCGCCGCCGCCGCAATCGCCGCCACGTTAGGGTTAAGGTTAGACGTTCGTCGCCGCTCTTTTTTCGGGGTCGGCGTTGAGCGACCCGCCGCGCGCGGCGTGCCGTCCGGAGCGGACACGTCACGACCGCCGCCGACAAACGAGAAGGCGTCGTGGGGGTCGCGCGGGAGCGCACGCCGTATATACACTCGAGTCGAGGAAGGTATAGAACGAAGCGCCGTTGCATGAAGCGGCATCGAATCTCGGGAGCTCTGCGTGCGAAGGGAAGGGTCAGCGTGGCACGGGCGTTCGGGTCGACCGTGAATCATCGGGTCTCCCTCTCCACAACCGCCGCTAAAGGCGACCGCTTCTGGGCGCCCAAGCCGGGCAAGTTACAGCTTCGAAAATGCAGGAAAACTATGCAAGGCCTCACGCGCTTGCGTGGGGGGATCCCTTCTGGCGCGCCCCTGATCTCGGTGGCCTGCCTGCCGTTGCGTATAGATGACCACAAGGTGGCGCTCATGTACGAATGTGCAAGCCCGTTAGTTGCACCCTCCTTTTTCACCTCCCCTCTAGTTACGATGCACTAGTGTTTTTCTTTCCACCTTTTTTTTTTTCAGTGTGCACGCGATCGAAGCATCCAGGGTACAGGTAACCATATATTACCTCTTGTTGCAACAACTCATTCGAACCGACCGTACATGTATATGCATTTGGCGCACATAAAAAGGCACGACGCTGCCTGGCGGGTAGCAGTGGTACACTAAGCTTTATAGTGTACACCGAAAGTCGTGTCGAAGAGGCCCCGTAATGCCAGGAGTGGAACGAATGTTGTGATAGACCCCGTTCGTGGTTTGTTTACTTCTACGTGTATTTTTGTATTGCCCAGCATTACCGCGTTATATATGCCTTCCATCTTTCTCCCTCTCCCACACGGGTAGACATTGAGGACCGAATGCGGTCAGAGAAAGCTATAGGGAGCTCGAATCCAAGTATTCTCTTTATTTTTGTTTCTTTCGTTAAGCGCGCGGACTTTAAATCACGGGAGGAACGAGCAATAAGGTGGTAGATTAGGGAGGCTGATAACCTTTACGTTTGATACCGGCGAGTATGTGTATGTCTTCTCGTGAGCGCTGGAAGGAGGGCAAAGCGGGCACGACTGGAGTAGGGGGTGGGGGGGGGGTCAAGTTCAGCCTTTGGCGGTGGTGACCGAATTGCACGAGAATGATGAGGCCCGGAGCACGCAAGTCGTCGATTCGTTTTAAGAACTGGGACGGTATGTGTGGTACGTTGCAGTCGACGATTATCCCGGTTATACGCGGCACGCCGTCCTGATACAGTAGACCACCACGATTCTCCTTCGGTTGTATGTGCGTACAATAGTCGCCGCGGGGGAGTCATGAAGGGTGACCCGCGAAGAGTTCCGTTTTAAGGGCGCATGTTTGCATGGCGGGGTCGATGACACCGTCCGAACACACTGCGATGGTTCTGCGCTGTTCCTTGTAGTGTCCTGGTTATAAAGAGCTCGTTTCGCGAAAACTCTGGTGTTGGCGTCCTCGTCGTTTGTGAGGGAAAAAAATCTGCGTTGACCATGAGCGGTAATTCAAGATAGATGCAAATTAATACATATTTAAAAACTTGGGTCAGAGTCAGAATAGACCACAGGCCTTCTGGGTGGTAAGCAGGTGTCCTACCATAGAACACGAGTGCTTCAAGTGCTTCGCGCAAAGTAAAAACGCAGTCAGAATGTCATGTGGTAGGAGTCTCCTTATCGCGTGTTATATAGCGTGACAAAATCTTAGAATAATAATCATCATCATCAGCCCGACTACGTCCACTGCAGGACAAAGGCCTCTCCCATGTTCTGCCAGTTAACCCGGTCCTGTGCTTAATCTTGGAATCACACCAGTCAAAATATGACGAATCGCGCAACGAGTGGGTGATTCAAAGCATTCCAGCCCCTCACAAAGTGTGTGCAAGAGCGTGTGGCACCTTAACGCACGCGTAGAGGATACTTCGCTCCTTTGAAAAAGGAAGAACTACGGCGCAGTCGAGGGACACTTCGCAACTGTACTTGCAGTAGGCGTTCTAGGACAGTTTGAAACTTCCTATGTTACGAGCTCAAGTGTTCGTGTCCTTGCGGCCGCACGGTTGACAACGATGTGCACGTGGCCCGATTACGCTATCGCGTTGTACAAGATATGAAGACGAAGCTCAGGCGTTCTCTTAAAGCGCCAGACCAAAACGACGACACAGAGACAAGAAGGACACGAAAACCTTCTTGTCTCTGTGTCGTCGTTTTGGTCTCGCGCGATAACTGTCGTCATGCCATACCAACTAGCCCAAGCTGCCACACTTCTAAGTTCTCTTACGTTACAGACCACTCGTTTCCGAACTGTCATTGCGTCATGCGGATTCAGGCATGACTACATAGTTTCGTATTAGGTGTAACCGTACGCTGCGTGAAGAACACAACTCAACGAGCCGGCATCTACAGTAAATGACATCAGGCGACAAATATTTCGTTCCTAGGCATTCGATCCACGTGGTTCCACTACGGCGACTGCACGTCTGGACAGTCTCAGTGGAGCGTGAATGAACGAAGACGTAGGCGATTGACCGGGGCAGGCAACGCTCAACTACGAGCAGCAGCCGCGAGACGCAGGAAACGACGCTGCAGCCACGCTCACGTACCTCAGAACGTTCGATGCTTTGCATCGGCGTATAGGCCGTTTCTGGGAATGCCTTCGACCGCGAGAGGAACGAATGGCATATTCTAAGGACGCGAAAATCAAACGAACTAAAAATTATATAGTTCACGTACACCCGTATATTCGATTTGATTTCAGACAGAAAAAGGAAGGAGTAGAGGAGCGGAAGAGCCGGTGATTTCATGCACCTCTTAAGAAAGGCTTCGAGCGAAGATGGGAAATTGGGGGGGTCACGAGACGAACTGCAGGAAGACAGCGCTGCACATCTCCGAAGTAAGGTCATCGCAAATACGTAAAAGATAGTCAAATAAAGCAATAGAAGAGTCATTCGACCGCAGAGCGGCGCGAATGGCGTCCAGGAAATGGGGGAAAAAAAACTCCCGCCACGGTGGCCATAGGTTGCCTTCGAAAATACCGTCCGATCGTACGCACCAGCCGTACACTTTCTCGCTTCACGCCATTCAAGAATTTCGATTACCCTCCGCGAAAGCCTTCGAAGAGGCGGGCAAGCACAATACGTTTCTTTTTCTTTTTTCTCGTGTAGTGCATAACTTGCGGCGCCGGAGTCATTCAGCGGAAGCCGAACGAGAAGAAGAAAGGACGAGGTTACGAAATGCTCGCCTCTGGGACGAGCGTGCACCCGAAACGCTCAAAATGCTTGCCTCCGAGATGTTCGCAGCGAAAAACGCGGTGACCAATCGAGTTCTTTTTGTTGTTGTTGTTGTTTTCGAATACGAACGCGCGTAGGAAAGAATCGTTTTCGGAAGAATGGAGAATGCGTTAACAATGGAAAAAGAAGAAGCGTGGTACGAAGACTGTCAAGGCTTCCTTCCCAGAGAAGGGCCCATTAGCTTCCACGGAAGGTTTTCTGACGTAACACGTTGAACGAGATTGAAGGAGCACCGAAATGGAAGAGGGGCGGAGACCGCGGCGGGCAATGCGATTCGACCTTCTTCGTTGCTCCTCGGGTCTTGCTGCCATTCAGGGAATCGAACGAAGCCCGCGGCAAACGACTGTTTCTACGATGCCGCGAGCCTCGTCTTACCTCTCACATCGTGCGTGCGAGTATGTACCTAATCTCTCGCAGGTCTGCCGAGCACACGCATGCGATAGCGTCGTAAATACCGAACAAAAAGAAAATAAAAGAGCAAAAAATTGAAAGAAAGAAAGAAGAAGCTGCTGTATATGAACGAGGAGAGAGAAAACGACCCCTATGGACGGTCTGGTTCACGGAGTACTCTTTCTCTCTCTTTCTCTCTCGCAGACTCGGTAAATGCGTGCAGCGTTGTCTGTATGCGGAGCAGATCACCGATGACGCTAACGTCCATTTTGGCGTCGTGATAGGAGATGTACTTAGTACAGTGCGCACAAAAGGAAATGAAAGAAAGGTTCGCTTAATCTAATCAATAAAACAGTAGCGGGTGTTTGTACTGATTGCACAGTAAAGAGAATTTTGGTGCATACCGAAGTAGGTCTGAATACAACAGCTTGTATACGATATTCTCTCACGGGTATTTTACCAAGGTGTCTTGCGATATTACGACAGATGTCCGAGTCATAGAACCCTGTAGACACGGTTTGTATTCGATATCGCATGCGTGCACCCAGTGATTTTCGAGTGTTAATGCTGAATACACTGCCCTCTTCAGGGTATATAGTGGGGTTGGAGGAAGGTGTCTAAACTTGAAGGGGCCATTGGCGATGATAACCCTACGGATGCTTACGATCAGGGGAGGGGGAGGGGAGGGGAACAACGATAACTTTATTCATGTTTCAGTGAGAGCTCTGAAGACACGGTGACAACTAGGGAATAATTAATATAAGAACTGTTGCGATATTACTTCCCAAAACCAAGATATGATTATGAGAGGCGCCGTATTGAAGTTCTCCTGAATATTCGACTTCCCAGAATTCACTAACGTGCACCTACGATGAATCTAAGCTCGCGGACCACTAGCGTTTTTTCGACAATCAAAATGCCGCCACCACGCCTGGAATGGAACCCATGTCCTTCGAGTCTGAAGGTCTTCGGACATCCGGTCATCATCTCACAAATCATCGCATCAGTAAAAGTCATTATCATCGCCATCATCTCCCAGTTTCAGTCCTCTGTTGGACCAAGGCCTGCCTTACCCAAAGACTTCCAGTTTACCTATGTGCGAGTTGATTCTATTTCATCCCTGCAAACTTCTTAATCAGTACTGCTCCGTAAATACAGCCCATGTGCGGCTGACGTCAAGTGCAGCCGTAGCGTTGCTGCACGGCTGTTCTGGGCAAGTTCGCGCAGTCCTGCTGATCGGAGGAGCGTCCGCCGAATGGGTGGTGGTAGTGGTTACAATGAAGAGGAAAAAGGCACCTAATTTCTGTCTGCCTTCAGGCGACACGGCGCAGTGCCTTATAGGGGTGGGGTTAAGGAGGGATAAAAAGGATAGAAGGAAAGTAGAAGCAGAAGAAGACAGCCAACGAGAGGAAAAAGAAGGAGATAGGAAAGTGGGGATCCGGTCGAAGCAGTCCAAGGGCGGGGTGCCACAATGCGAGAGCTACACGGCATCAGGAGACCGCGGAGGGCGAACCAGTCGGCGGGAGCTACGCTGAAGTCGGAGATCGCGAGGGCACAACCGTCCAGCTTGAAATCCTGCGAGCGAATCCCGAATGGGTCGGACGGCGACCGCCCGCCAGGGGGCGAGGGTGAAGGGGGCGACCGATGCGCCATCACGCTGGTGCACGCTGCGAGCGCCCTTGAACTTGCCGCCACCGAAGAAGCCCCCGCGAGAGGGTCGACCTGCGTTTCTTCTTCGTCGGCAGCACCACGTTGTCCGCCCCTTTTTTTTTTTTTTTGGCTGCGTGTGCCGGCCTCTTTATAGTCTTTGAACGTGTATACGCACACACAACACACGAACGTGGCGGTGAATGCATGTCCGTACCTGTTTTGTGTTCTGCCACTGACACTTCCATGCCGCCGTGCTTTCGTACACACATCGGAGGGAAGGTGTATACAATTGCAACCCGCCGATAAGGACACTGCGCAGCGCACTAGAGGAAACGGTACAGTAGACTGGGATGATCATGCTTATGATGTTGGTGCTCGTCGAGGTAAAAATGAGAATACATTACGCACCCCTCCCCCCCACACGCCTGATTAACACTAACAAATCTTTGCCCGGCAATTAGTAGAGCTGAGTCGTAGATACATACAGCATTAGTTCGTAGTCCTCAGACACGATACGTAACGCGTCGTACAGAGTCGCAGTGGTCATCCTATCTGGACGACTTATTAGTTGATCATTGCATTCGACCTTGCTATTCTATTCAGCCCCGCCGCGGTGGTCTAGTGGCTAAGGTACTCGGCTGCTAACCCGCAGGGCGCGGGTTCGAATCCCGGCTGCGGCGGCTGCATTTCCGATGGAGGCGGAAATGTTGTAGGCCCGTGTGCTCAGATTTGGGTGCACGTTAAAGAACCCCAGGTGGTCTAAATTTCCGGAGCCCTCCACTACGGCGTCTCTCATAATCATATAGTGGTTTTGGGACGTTAAACCCCACATATCAATCAATCAATCAATCAATGCTATTCTATTCAGTAATAAAATAATTATTTCTGGCTGTTGATGTGATACTGTCGTTGCCCGCGAGAGCCCGGAAATGTAACGATGTCGGTGACGTCTCGCTATGCTACGTTAAGCTCACGCATCCGTATAACTGTAAACCGTTTGTCGATGCCTGCATCCGCGATGCGACAAAGAATGGGAGCTCAATTCGTAGTAGCCGCTTAATACTCTTATCGGCTGTGATAGGTTAAAAAAAGAAAAAAAATCATCGCCAACACAACCACTTGTTGTATTATTCGTTGCATTGGCTTCGCCGCACTAAGAGGTATTGTGCGGAGAAGCTTGCTTCGACGACAGTTTTTTTTTGTTTGTTTCGGAAACGACAACCTACACAATATTTGAGCATGCGCATGAGTAACGATTCTGGCGTGACAACGATGAGTGGATATGTACGCACGCGGACAAGGATGTGCTAGTCGGTTTCCAGCTCTAATCCCCTGGAATCGAACGGAGCTTCGTGTGCTGCGAACACCGATGATGCTTGGGATCCGCAGTAAGAACGAGCTGTGGCGACATATGTGGTGGCCGTACCCTCGACTCATCCAACGGCTTTACTAGAGCTTCGGCAATGAAACTCGAGGGCTTTTTGTGTACTTCAAGCACCGGTTTCGACTGCGGAATCCGGACCGCCACGCATGTTTCAAACGCCTAGCATGCGCAATCAGTGGCGGAAAACGTCTGACCGTGCACTGCGCTGGCTTACGTTTGCAGTACAGCATATATATAAAAAAAACGTGCTAGCCTTTTCTCTCATTGATAACCCGTTTAGCCACATTAATAGACTACCAGTTAGCTTTGTTTTATCGCCGCATGACCTTGTTAACTCCATTATCAAATCGTCCATAGAACACCATCTCCTGTAGAAGACACTGCGTGTTGGTGTGGTAATATGGCTTGGTTAAGTTGCTGTTGATGACGATGAAAACTTTATGAAACTTTATGAAACTTTATGAAACTTTATGAAAACTTTATGAACTTAAGTTGCTGTTGATGACGATGAAAGCCACCCGGCTAGCCCCACTTAGGGACCGACTTGGTTACAAAACAGTAGATGAGCTACAATCGACACTCAACCGCAGTTCCTTTAGAGATCGCGAAATAAAACGAAGCAAGAGAAAGGCGTGACGTCACGAGCGTTACGAAGGACAAGCAGGATGACCACAACCGCTCGTGTTTCTTTTCTATACCCTCTGCACTCACTGTCCGCCACCGATGATTTCGCGCAAAATGTCCACTGCGGCCACGCGTTGCACATCGAAATCGCGCCGATATGACCCCACAACTCGCATTTGTGATGCACCCGAGATGGTTTATTTATTTATTTATTTTATTTATTTATTTGTACAATACTGCGAACCTTGAGAGGTCCAAGCAGGAGAGGGATGTACACATCCAGAAGACATGCGTACGGATGCAACACCGACACATGAATGTGAGGGTACATAATCAACAGGTAAGTATACAATGATTATACATTGGATGACAGCAAGGGTGAACACTCTGGCAAAACATTCCAATCGGAAACAGTTCTGGGAAAAAATGAATATTTGTATTGGTCTGTACGGGCAAAGAACGGTGTAATACTTCGGCTATGCTTGTGACGAGACGCTCGACTAGGGTTATTAGCTATGTAATCTTGTGACTGGATTCCCAATTTATTAAAATATAGCTGGTGTAGAAAGTTTAGACGGGCACTTTTACGTCGGTTGGCCAATGGCTCTAGGTGTGCGAGCTCGAAGCTCTCGAAGCTATTACAACGCGCTTCATCTCCAACGTGGAGAAAGTACAGGGTATAGCAGGCGGCCTGCGTATACGCAGTGGCCACTATATAGCGCAGTGACCCCGTGGTGTGAGCGCTGGATCGATTGCGCGCGAGACACCACGAGGGCGTGGACAAGTCCATCCACGATCGGCAAGTATGAGACCGCGGTCATCGTACACGGAGTTACGTAAGGTTACACGCGACTGTAATTTAAACCTTTGGCATCGTTCGTGACTGCGCGCTGCCGGGTCGACGGTGTGCCACACATCCGGCCAGTTGACCGAGCAACGTGCACATGACGGGGCTACTGGCGGGCGTCGCGTACAGTCCGCGCAGCGCTCGATGGTCAGCACGCCCCGCACTACGCGATAGCTGCTTGACCCACATCGTGAAGCACGACCGCCCTTCTCTCTTCCTACTGACCGCTGGGTTGCGTACAAACATCGCCGGTGTGGCGCAGTGACGATCTGGTATGCGTGTGTTCCAGTGTTTGTAGTAAGACGGTAAGTTGGGCCAGTTGGTTAGGATACATCGAAAAGACGGCGCTGACTCACAACTGTTGTTTGTTGGAAAAAAAACGGGGTGAAAAGTGTATATATTGGTACTGGCAGCCTACATCACAACATGCGCAGAATACGAGGTGCATCGAGGTAGCGTTAGCGCCGTCTTTTCTTTCTCTTTTACTCCTTCCCTGTCCTGTATTTTTTCTGGTGTTGCGCTGTAAGAAAGTTCACGATGGACCCTGTGTTCGTATCTGGAAAAACTATATACGTGTTTTACCTTCGAACAGGTTTTCGGTGGATTCGTGCAAATGAACGTTATACGTACCTTTTATAGGATCTACTTAATACGTATACTTCAAAAGCGATGTTCTATAGTATAGCGATTTCCGGCGTCATTTGCGAGGCTACGTCGGCCTGCTAGTTGCGCTCCTCCTGCTTCTACAATTATTTCTTTGTGCAGGTGTCACGCGGTGCTTTGCTAACCGCGACTAAGCCCTACTGCTATGGAAATTTTTTTTAGTCATTGGATCCATTCTGCAGCTTGCATGATGGAGCAAATCACGATCGAGGTATTCGACCTGTGTCAAGACCGTTCACGACCAGAAGTGACCGCGTTATACCGGTATTAGTTGAGTACTGTGCACGCGTGCATCGATTATTTAAGGTAATACACAGCTGCGCATATAAGCGCAAACGTCTTGAACGCCCGCACTACCATACAAGATTCTGCTCGAGTTTCTTGTTCCGTCCTTGTCGCATCTCTCACTCCTTCCATTGCACTTTAACATAACAGCTGTAACCAGAACTCCTTGGTGCTGTACACAGGAAAACGTCAACGAATGACACTTACAGTATAGACAAGCGCAATGCGCGTCCTTTTGTTTACGTATATTAAGGCCGCTGTGCTCGAATACATGTATGGTTCATCGACTATATTACAAGCAACCGTCTTCCAGTATGCATGCGGTTACAGGATTTAATATGCATACGGTTTTGTATATAGTTTGATCTCCGACCGTGCGCTCCCGTAACCTTCATAGCAACACGTTACATCGGTGAGTGGGTTCTAGCTGAAAAAAAAAAAGATAGAGAAAGAGAGAGAGATTTATGCGGAACAGCACGCGAGAGAGGTTGCAGGGGCTGTCTCCTTTGTCCAGGAGGTGGTCTCCTTTGTCCAGGAGTCCAGCGGCCTTAGTGGCTGCCCTTGTCGCTCAGTTACACACCAGTTCAGTCTCGTCTACACAGTTGGGACTGGAAAACGCTGCCTCCCTATACACGCCTTACAG